ACTGCCAGAGGAGATGTCATGAGAGATGCTTGCTGTCTATTGAGATAGGATAATGCATTATCTATTTGATAGGATTAAAAAAACAGATATTCAATCTAAAAAAAAATGTTTCACAGAGATAAAATAGAGGGCAACATTTTTTCCCAGAGAAGTGAGCATATATTTATACCCCAACCCACTTTTGTCATCACCTTCATTATCTACATATCTGTAAAAAAATAAATCAAGGCAACTGGACTTGCTGTATTTTTCTTGAAGACGTTTCGCTGGTCATCCAACTAGCTTTCTCAATTCAAAATGACTTGAACAAAGATTCTCTGGGAATAAATATGGGGAATGTTGCTCCAATCAACATATTCTGTTAAACATAACCAGCATGGGGTCAGAGACCTCATGGAGGTATGGTGTTGACTGCTTTGCATAATAGGAGCTAGCAGTTCATTCTTCTCATTCTTTACAATTTTGAAGGAACATATCCAAGTTTCAAAAGGGTTTATAATGCTGGGAAATCATGAAGGTGCTTTGGTTAGAATTCCTCCACCCTAAGGCATGAACATGCACAAAAAACACAAACAAACCAGTAACGTGTAATTTTTAAGAGAAGTAAATTTTCTGAAATTGGAATTCAAGTGAATTTAACTAGTTTCCTGATCTTTTTTCCCAAATATCCACATAGGTACATTAACATTGTGAATATGTTAGAGAGTTTGGTAGAATGCACAGGAATGATCTATAAAAAGCCAGCTAGGCCTCTATCCAGGGCAAACATCCTAAAGCATTAAATTGAACTTTTCTTGTTTAGGATACAGATGTGCACTATGACCAGCAAAAGGCAAAGGTTAATAGCTACCTGTTACAGAAGAATTAAAAAAGCAATAAGCTGTGAGGGCACATCACCTTCATGGTATATAATTGCTGTCAGTGGTGACAGGTGGAACATACTCAGCTTTATCATTAGAAAAAGAGAAAAATAATTTATGCAGACCACAGGTTTTTTTAAAAATTCCTAGGTGAAGTTCCTCATAAAAATAAACATTTGACCAAATTCTGCATAGAAAAAATGTCAGTAGTCAGTATGTGATGCACTTAACAAAATTGAAAAGTACCCCCTGTACTTCATTGCAAAGACTTTGCATGTTAACCTTGGAATACAAAGCATTAAAAGGTAATATTTTGGTCATAAAACAGAATAACAAACTATTGTACTTGAGTTGCATTATTCAGAACACTAAAAGGGTATTGTGTATAATAAAGTATTGATTTTTGTACATTGATATGCTAATCACTTAACCTTGCCACAGGGGTAAAAAGGATGTCATACAGCATGGTGACATATTTTCTATGTGGTTTTCTGGAGTCATGGCTTTCAACTCCCTATGGCCACTTTCTATGTCTGTTACATATGCGGATGTCTTTTTGGTCATTTGCCTGTGATTGAAAGTTCAACAAAAAAAGGTAGGAGGTAGGGAAAGTATAGTTAAAATGTTATGCAAAAACGTAGCAGTGGAATTTGCTAGAACAGCTTGTTGCTGGACATACACAAGGTGATTTTCAGGCAATTTCAACAACTTTAAATCCACCATCAACAGCAAAATCAAATAGAACCAGACAACCTGCTATCAATAGTTTCAGGGGTTTCATGTTTTTGACAGAAGCTGATTGGGATGGGTGACTGTGGTTAATTACACAACTGAAAGCTAGATAAAAGTTGGCAAACACATTGGTAGAAATTGCCTGATAATTGTGATGCATATGGCAAGCATATAGCTTTTTGTTGATATCAAGCAATGGACTTCTGGATAAATATGATGAAGAGCCAAGGTCATATATAATGATGATATTAGTGTCATCAAAATAAATGTTAGGCATACAGGCACTGGCGGAACTACCAGGGTCGCAGCGGTCGCAATTGCTACTGGGCCCTGGCGTTCCCCACTTGGGGGGCCCAGCGACGAAGAAGAGGGCCCCCCTGAGATCGTGCCGCTCCTTCCCTGCCGCACAGCCACATGCAGCATGTACGGGTGGCTGTGCAGCGGGGGATGGAGAGGCTGTCACCAGTCCCACACAATCTGCTGCAGGCACCGCCCTGCAGGAGAGTAAAGGTAAGTCTGGAGTGGGAAGGGGGGCGTGGGGAAGTGCGGGCAATGCAGAATAGCTCCAACTATGTAGGACTACAAGTCCCAGCAATGCATTATATTTTTAAGTAGGCATACACCACTGCCAATACTTGGCATTGGTACTCATACTCGTGAAAATGCCCCTACACTAAACGCACATACCGGAGTTCTGTCGAGAACGCCAACGTAGTCGAATTTGCCGACCTCAGCATCTACGCTTGCGCACAGACCAGTATTATCGAGGAAACCGGGATTTATTCACAAAGCATTTTGTTTAAATCATTGATTGTGACCATTAATAATATTCCATCCATCATTTACTGCCATCCATCATTTACTGCCATGGATGGCATATTATTAACGGTCACAATTAACCATTACAAAGGAATACTTTGGAAAAAATGACGGTTTCCTCGTTAATCCCGTCTGTACGTAAACGCAGATACTGGGTCGGCGTTCTCAACAGAACACCGTCACTAAACTTTTGAACAAGCGGCTGCCTGAGGTCCTGCGCTTGCTGGGGACCTTGGCAGCCTTCCTGTTAACCATACGGTGCCATGGCGGTTGGGGGGCCCTTCATGGTTCCTTGCACCTGGGCCCTGAAGGTTCTAGTTATGCCTCTGCATACAGGTAAGGTCAAGAAAAAGTAACGCATGGTTAAAAGGCAAATAAGTGTATTTCACCACATAGCCAGACAAGGATATAAAATAAGTCCAAAAATATACCAATGCATGAAAAAAATTATTAAGTAAATAAATTACTTAAATTGTGCCCATTATGTTAAAGTTCATTTGTAATACTATAATATGTATCAGAGCAGTTGATCTACTTTATCGCCAGTGCAAAATGCCTGAAACTTCTCACAATGCCAGATTTGTCCAAAACAAGTTTATCTTACATAAAAATGTTTTAATGTTATTAAATGCTTTGAGGAGTTTTAGTATACTCTTCTAAACAAGACTGAACGAAAAGGGTACACTGCAAGCCTAATCTTGGGAAAAGGAGATAAGTAAAAGAACAACAGTGTTTGGATGACATTTAAGCTTTACACCTTTCTACTGCCAAGAAAAATCACCAGGACATGCCAAAATTCAAATGGTGCTCTGTACTTGTAGCAATTAGGTATCATTGAGATTAACTTGCCAGATCCTCTCCTTTCTTTCTTTCACACATAAATGCAATGTACGGTGTCAGCTTGTTTTGAATTTCAGGTTGAGGTTACTGAATGTGTTATGTCTCCCCATGCAAGATAAACTAACATTTATTTTGAATTTGCCCAAACAGACCTTTAGTACAAGAAATAATACTCTAATTGTTTTCCTAATTTCCCAGGTAAGTTAATTTGGTATCTCTAAATAATGCATGCATAATTCAAATTCTGTAACACACAACAAAATCTTGATAGTGTACTGGGAAAGCTCTGGGCAGTGTTTCAGCCTGGACACCCATGGACATCCATGGGATCCTCACTTTGAAAGTTTCTGTGTCCACCCTGGACCTGAGGTAATTAGAGATCACATGGTTTAGGCATTCCCTTTGACTGCTGTCAGCTGCAAGGCCAGGCCAATGCAGTCTAAAGAACCACTTTAAACCAGTACTATAGCAGCTACCACCATCACTGCTCCTCATTTCAGCAACCTGAGGATTTGACGCAGATTGGCCTGGAAAGGCAGCCAACAGGTTCTTCTGCTGTACCTCTTCCATGTGGGGAATTTTTTTCTCCCTCTGGAATGGTAGCATGAGATCTACCATTTTCCCTTGTATCAGGGATCCAAAAGTGTGGCCTAACATTAACAGTAAAACTTCAGTAACAGCCGCTCTCTAGGATTTGTACCATGCAGGATAGGGACCATTACTGAAGTGCAGACACCCAATTGCCACAATTGTCCTCTGTGTCACTGAGGACAATGATATCACCCACCCACCTAACATTCACATGGTTTAGGAGCCCCCAAGGCTCTGTGCTTGGACACCTTCTCTTCTCTATCTACACCTCCTTCCATGGTCACTTGATAACCTTGCATGGCTTCCAATACTATCTCTATGCCAATGACACCAAAATATATCTCTCAACTCCACAACTCACCTGTTTCCTTGTGCATCACTCACCGGTTTCCTTGTGCATCACTAATTTACTAACAGACATATTTGGATGTCACAACACTTCTTGAAACTCAATCTTTTAAAAACTGAGCTCATTATATATATTACTGCATGTTTCCAAACAGCTGACTCCAACTCTCTAAACTCAGCTTCCCCAAACTTCCTGTCCTGTACACGATCACAAGAGACAGAGCAATCTCCAGTAGCTGTCCAACTACTATAGCTTGGAGAAGGGTGGAGGGAAGATGGAAAAGCAGGGAGCAAGAGAGTAGCTTGCCTTGCTATACCTGAGTGTTTGTTGAGACATGCACAGATTTCTATTGCACACCAGGGTGGCTCTGTAGGACCCTGCAAGGGTAAGGAGGCACCCTAAAACTGTATATAAGGACAGTGCTCAGGGGAACAGCTGATTCTGCAGGAAACAAACGTTTAAACATCAAGTAACAGCATCCAGGGTAAGTGATTTAATCAGCCTTTAAAATAGCTTAAAAACCTTTTGACTTTAAAATCACTTTAAAGAGATGGGACATTCTTTTAAGGACATTGATTTACCCATTTTAGACAGAAAAGACAACTGATTTCCTAATAGTTTGAAAAAAGACATGCACAATAGGTTTTCATATCCACCCTCTGTTCTAAGCTTTTTATACTGATTTTATACCATCCTCACATCATATTTGACCAGTTCTCTGCAGAACAATTTTTGTGCAGAGTTCTGATCATTAAACTCTTCTAATGCAGGAATAATTTTGACCAGGCAGTAACATCACCACTTCTTACCTCTACAAAATGGAGATGGAAAATCCCACGATGCTCCATTTCCTGGACTTACAATACATGTCAGAGTTGAATGTCCCTCGAGAATATATCCAGCAAAACAGTTATATCGAATTTTGTCTCCTATATTGAATCTTGTTCCATGTAGAACACCTTTGGGTATCTCTCCTGGATTTCCACAGGTGTGACTTGGCAATACTAAAAAAGAACAAAAAAAGAAAACTTTGAAATGACTTGATTATAAAAACGGCAATGGCCTTGTTAAACATAAAGACATTGGTCATGGCAATAATAAACAAGTACAATGTCTTCAGATTATAGTAGTTTCAGATTCAAATCTGCTTTGCAATCCATTACTGGCATCTTGATTGACTAATTTAAATGGAAAGCTAAAATATTTGAAATTGGAAAACAGTCCAGTTGTTATACAATTATACATAAGAGATTTGCTGCTATCATAGATGTAATTGGATATATCAGAAGTCATTAAAAACCTGGAAAGAAAAAGTGAACAAAATAATGTTTTAAATTTGCATTGATGTTATCTCTATATTCTGTAAATTAACCAAATAGTATTAAACTATAATGCTTATACCTTTAAGGGATTGTAGAGAGCATTGTATTGTAAGTTCACTTATTTAAACTGAGCTCACATAAGAAGGTTATTTAATAGTGACAAATTTTCATTTCAGATTTGGAGGAAAATGAGGTAGTCCAAGTGTAAATTTCTTCTGCATTTGCAGCCCTAATTTGAATATTCAGCAGTAAGATTTCTTTCTGCCATCTCTTTCTAAACAGCTCAAGTTACTTCTACATGTCCAAATTATAAGTGGGCCATTGACAACAGTGGGCATGTAAAGGAAGCAGCAACAAGCATGATAAATGCCAAATTGCCAAAAGAACATGCTAGTGCACATCAAAGGTGGAGGAGAGTGAAGAATTATTGGGGAACTTTGTTGTGCTTTGAAGATCTTTTGCTGTAGATTTCTCCAAAGAGATTTTGTTTCCCCTCGCTTCTTCCCATTTCAAAACCTATGTACTACTTCTATTGACTTTAAAGGGCAATCTCCTGTTCAAGTTATTCACTAGGAGCAAGGCAAGGTAGATCACCAGGGGAATATCGTGTGGATTCTGATGTCTATAAAAATATATAAAAATAGAGGTATCTGTGATACAGTATAGGATCAGGTTTGGGCTGTTAGTTTTCTAGTAAGGTTAAAAGAACAGAGAAAAAGGTCTTATTTTCGCCCAGCTTTTACATTAAAAATACAAGCTTCTATATCAAGCCATTGCCCCAACCTCAGTACAAAATAATATTCTCATTCAATTTATTTTCCCAGAAAGTATCTAACAGAGAGCAGCTGATTTTATTTTACACTTATTAGAATAACACTGTTTTCCTTTTTAGCATTAAATGCTAAACTTCCCTTTTAAGCAAGCAAGAGTATTTTCTGATTTAAATCATAATTCAATAGACATGTGCATTCGTTTTCGGATGAACCTGCAAATCAACTAAATTTTATTGATTTGGTGGTTCGTCCAAATCCAAAATAATGAATTTATTATATGCTCGAATATATAAAAACTATGTGGGCATACACAAATTCGTCTACAGAACATGCAACAGTCATATTGGCCGCTGTGGCATTCTGCGCATGCCCACCGTCATCTTGGAGGTGGAGCATATGATGTCACAGGACGGTGACATCATATGCTGAATGAGCGTTGGTATCATCGGGCCAAGCATACGGGTGCCTACATCTTGGTGTTTACCAAGTTACACTGCAAAATGGCAACACACATGCGCAGAACGTGCCAGCGGCCAACATGGCCACCACTCGTTCTGCAGTTTATTGTGCGGTTTCAGATTCGGAGGCTCATTGCCTTTGAATCTGAAACAGCATTAAAATTTGTTTCCTTTGATGAAATGAATGAAAATGTTTTTAGTTTTCATTTGTTTCGTCCGAAACAAAATGTTTTGCCATGCACATGTCTATAATTAACTAAGAACTCTCACAGTCATTAATGCATCCTAGCACCTTAGGTTTGCATCTCCTTACTATTTATTGAGTCGCATGGTAAATCATATGTGCATGTTGTGTTCAAACAGGAGATAAAAAAATGACAACAAATAAATTGTATTTTCATCATCAATGAAGTTGGATAATAACAAAGACACATAAGAAATACATATATTGTATCATAGGGACATATTTATAAAACAGTTAACTTGAAAGTCTTCTTTAACAAGTGGATAATCATTCCCTAAAATTTAAAAACATATTTAAAACACATACTGTACATCAACAGATTCTGCTGCAGGTAATATTAGTCAAATGTCACAGTCATAGCTTTATAAATATGCCCAACAATTTCTTTGTCTGTCATACAATATAAAGAAACATGGAACAAACTATCTTCCTTTATGCTTTTTCACATAAACTCTAAAAAACATACAGGTATTATATTATTTATAAACAAGGGAGAATCTCTCTCATATATATATATATACATATATATATACAAATATAATCATAAAATTTGTTGAAGAAAAAAAAAATAATATAATATATTATAA